CAAATATCCCCCAATAAGACCTTATACTGGCTTTATTACATTGATGGTAGCACATGCAAGGTAGATGCTTGTATATTTGTATACATTGGGTTGGCCAAAAAGTTTGTTCGGGTTTTTTCCGTAACATCTTACAAAAAACCTGGGCGAACTTTTTGGCCAATCCGATACATAAAACTAAAATAAAAAAAAAACAAAAAAAAGATCAGGTACAAATACCGTAAATATCCCAACTTCTAAAGTCTCCTTTTGAAAAACATATTTCCCCCCTACCGTTTCTACCAGAATCCCTTGCACTTGCCTGATCATGGGGTTTACGTAGGTTCCAGTGGATATGTTTTTTAAAATGCAATATAAAGTTTTCCTAGTTGGAGGAAATAATCACTTTCCATTAAGTTAAACAGCCCCAGTCCATTTAAAATTAAAATATCTGACCCAGAAATAGAAAGAGTCCGCTTTGTGGTCTTGAGGGTCACTTAGCTGCAGATGGAACTTGAAAACTTGTTTCTGGTCACTGCTGCTGAGGAGAGCCCGTAATTTCTGTTCCGGCGGGATTGGCTCGAGATAGTCACGACGAACATGAAACACTCGTGAGTGTGGCATTCCAAGTGCTTAAGGAACTGGACATACTAAGATGACAAAAAGAACGTCATTAAACCATAACTACGCTTTCTAAATTACCAGGTATTGGTAGGTTTACTGGCAAGACAGCTTAAATTACAGATGTATTTGTAGCCTGCAGCATTTTATGATAAGAGAGTTACAGAATTCTTTGCAACCAAGGGGAAAAAATAAGGATTTATTAAAGCTGGCGTGGATGTCTATGACTTTGCACTCCTTCTACACACAAAGAGGGGCATCATGGTGACAGCACTCCTAAAGTTTGAGGGGAGAGTATTTCCACTTCTCGGTTCCATTTAAAATTCACTGGCCTCCTTTCCACTGCAGATCTGCTGTTTAGTCTGCATCTGAAAATTAAACCCAGAGCTTCAGCTGTCACATTAAACACTGAACCTTCCTCCAGCGCACACCCTCACCCGTGCCTGTGTGGTAACATCTATGGTTAAACGCCTAAGACATTGAAAAATTCCATCCAACATTAGGGGATCGGGGTGGCTATTGGGATGTCTTCTTCCTCCTTTTGAATAAGTTAGCAGAAGTGTACCCAAGGGTATACGCCACATGCAATGTGCTGAACCAAATTAAAAGGATGGAGATAGGTGCAAACTATATATCTAGGTTTCAGTGGGGGTTTTCTTCCACAAGCGTAATGAAAGCAATGAAAGAGTTACACTTATTAAATTCCTTTTTGGGGGCAACAAAAGAAAGACTAAGGCAAAATGAGTGCAATTTTTCCATAGTAGTAATAAAAATATAGTTCTCCAACTCTGCCCATTTTCTTTTCCTTCTCTTCAGTTTTCTGCCCAAAAAATCCATGTTTCACCCCAGTGTGGTACAGCCTCAGCGGTCTTTGTAAGGTAACTGAGTGGATGGCTGGGGGCTGTTCTGTGTTTAGAGGCCTTAGTGGCTGGTACTCATAAAAATGTCACTATGCACTTTCACTTTGAAAAGTCCTTTTATCCTACATTCGTGAAGCCCCATTCCAACGGTAAGCCTCCTTACCAGACTGTGGCTTCTTGGCCTTCCCATCTCACCAGCCAGTGCCTAATGAGATGTGGAGGATGCTTGGCTATGGTCTCTCCACCTCCTTAGTGCCTCAGAGCTGCTCTTGGGGGGCTACCCAAGGTCAAAGATCCTTTGGGCGTATGTTGCGAACATGAAGCAATTTAAATAAATATCTCAAGTTGCAAGCTATCACCTGCAGTAATGGCAGTGTCTTCTAAGTTAACTGCAGAGGATTGAATCTCAAGGGTCCCTACCGACTACTCTGCTATGAAAGTAAGATCCCTGGGGGACGTCAGAACCTGCCGCTTATTCCCTCCGTCACCGGGTCCTGTCCACTCTTTGCACCGCAGAAGGGCCCCGTGTGAAGTCTGGTCAGCCGTGACAGGGCAGCTGAAGGTGGATTTCCCGACTCCATCTTCATGCATCCGTGACCCACATGGCTCCTGGGAGGGAAAGCAAAAACTCTTCTCTCCCAGCCTTATCTCGCAATCTGCTGTCAAATCACCTGCCCCAGTTCAGTAAATGAATCGTGGAACCAAAACAAAACAACGAAGAGGGTTTTTCTTCTCTTAATTACACGCACACTTTTGTCACAGCAACCATACGTGTAGCAAAAGGCCAAGTCACTGGGTCTTGCAGAGGTGAGAGGTGCCACGTGCCCCGCCAACACCATCCACTTGGCAGCCATGCCGTCCTTTGGAGGATGGCCAGTCAGGGCTATGCCAGGAAGAGAGAGCTCTCCAAGAACCAAACACTGAGAAAACCATCGTTCTGAGCGTGTGAGAGCTGCATGACCTCCAGAAGTTTGACGGAGTGAGGCTCCCACCCTCTGACATCCTACTTATGTACCCAGTACTAACTGACAGCTACTAGTAGAAGCATTTCAGTGTCGGTGGAAATAAAACAACTCTCCATGTTGTGTTAAGAACCATTAAATAAAGGAAACAATATGAGGATGAGGGACCATCATTTTCAGCTGAGTTGTGTCTAAGGGATTTGAATAAACCACTTACATATCAGGAGTTGCAAGAGCTCAAATCAAGCAGAGTTTCTGGGAAGGTTTTGAAAAGCTGATCACATTCCATCTACTACAAGGTCTTTGTAAGTTCATGGCCTGAAAATTGGACTTCCTTCCGGATTTGGAAGTACTTTGGTTTCCAGATAGTCTAGAAAAATCGAGCAGTTAGAAATGGAATAATTACAGTTCCATCCAGGGGGGTTTCCAGCTTGACTGCGTTCTATTAATTTGTTAACCAGGAGAAGAAGGAATCACATATATCTGCCGGCGTGTAATCTGTGGTCTGTTTCAGGGTAGTTACCTAAGTCCACACCTCCTGTCATAATGAGAAGTGAGTCATTTGGGGACGGTGACGAGCGTATCTGCCGAACAGCTTAATGACTTTCTGGAATTTAAATATTAAGTGAAAAAACAAGGTCAGAGGGCAGCTGAACCTTGGCTTGTCTCTCTCACGTCCGTCCGTGGCTTTGATCCTGCTACATCCTCCTTTGTGGCCGGGACTCCATAGAGAATCTCAGGGTCATGGCCTGTTGCCTGTCAAGAGGTATAAACGTGCTGCTTAAATATGTGAAGCCTGCCGTTTGGGGGTTGGGAGCAGATGCGAGGTAGCTTCAAACGTTCCACGTTTCCCACATAACCCAAAGCAGACTAAACAAAACCGGTGTGAAATCTCATGACTTGATGCTGCGGTGGTTATATTTTTTAAGCTGTAATCCATTCATTTGTGTGTGTGTTTATTCCCAGGATTTACAGCTCCTTCAGTCTTGGGGGAAGAGAACGTTTGAAACCTTTTGCAAAGGGTTTGCAGTAAGCAGTGGCCTGTGGTTAAAGCCCAGGATAGAGTGTGTGTGTGTGTGTGTGTGTGTGTGTGTGTGTGTCCGCGTGTGTGTGTGTGTCCACGTGTGCGCATTCATGTGAGCATGTGAGTACCCGTTCACGTGGGTTTTTTTCCCTCCCGTTTGCTGCTTTTACGCAAAGGCGTCACACATGGTAGCATTTAGGAGTTCCTTCACAGCTGAAGTGTTTCAAACACTAATGAATGGAAGTTTGGTCATATAATGCAGACAAGCTTTAAGGCATGCTTTACTGAATGGTGTACTGTAGTGACCTGGGAAAGGAAGAGAGGTATAAATTGTGTCAGTTAGCCACCCAGACAAAATGAAGCCATGTGGAAAATCAAATCTATTAAAGTATGAAGACTGTTATAAGCTGTTTTAAGCTGGCCATTCTTAAAGTTTGCTGCAGGAGTGAATGTTTACCTCTTCTCCCAGATCTTTTTCACATGCCGTCTTATGAGACAATGTACAGCATTTGATAAAAATCATCCTCTCACTAAGGACGCTTTTATCAGAAATGTTTATTGTCTCCGCTTTACCACCCATGTCCTGAAAGGTACTGCACGTTTGTTAAACAAGCAGAAGGAAGGAGAACTTTGCAGCTCAAGCCGGCTTGCAGAAATTCCAACAAATTCCAGAGCCATACGGAATCAGAAAAAGGAAAAGAGAAGGAGAAATTAGATTTATAGGAAGAGGAGGCCCTGCAAAAACATATATATTAGATTTTCTCTGCTTGGCCAAACCACCATTAAATGTTTGGTCAGTGTGGATTCAGTATTGAGATTGAGCAGTTAATGCCAAGCTTTGGCCATTGTCTTAAAATGCGCTTTAATAAATACAAGAAGAAGGAAATCCATTTGGAAAGGAAGTGAGTCGTCAGCTCGTGCAGCCCTTTCTCAGGCTCGAGTCTGCCCTCACGCTGCCTCTGGTACATGGCAGTGGCATCCTGGTTACACACAGCTGCCAACACCCGTCTGACTCTGCCCAAAGCCTGGCTCGACTTGCTCTGCGACTTCGGGTATACGACTTACTGTGCCTTGATTTTCTCACCTGTAAAATGGGAATAATAACAGCCAGTCCCTAAGAGCATCGGCTATGATGACCAATGTCTGCAGGACGCATTTTCTTTGTCCATTAAGAACAGATCCCCTGCACTTGATTTGCTGGTTTTTAAAACTGATGACTGGGATGCTGTCGGGAAAAATTTATCCATTTCTTTTTCCCTCTGATTGGTGAGTAAGCTCACACGGGCCTGACATTCTCTGGACGGCAGACAATTGAATTTGCTGAGCAGCCGCCATGATGTCAAGCCTTAAGTCAACAGTGGCTAATGACTGCTCTGGGAAAAAACAACACCTTGATTCCTCAATTACGGTTTAAGAAGCCCTGGGAACGAGGGGGCTTGCCAATCATCCGCATCCTCTTTTGAAGCCAGCATAATGTGCTGTGGAAACAGGTCACCTCTGAACTGTTTGTCTGAACAGCCCACACAGTGTAATGGTTGTGCCCTTTGTGTGTTCCAGGAGGAGACTGAAGAGACATCCTCACAAGAGTCTGCGGAAGAGGATTAGGGGGCGCCAGCATTCAATTTCTACCTCAGCAGCAGTTGGATCTTTTGAAGGGAGAAGACACTGCAGTGACCACTTACTCTCTGTCGCCATGGTCTTTCCACTTTCATCTGGGGTTAGGGGGCGGGGCGGGGCGGGGGAGGGCGGGGGTGGGGGGAGAAGTCACGTAACCTTAAAAAGGACTATATTAATCACCTTCTTTGTAATCCCTTCACGGTCCCAGGTTTAGTGAAAAACTGCTGTAAACACAGGGGACACAGTTTAACAATGCAACTTTTAATTACTGTTCTCTTTTTCCTTAACCTACTAATAGTTTGTGGATCTGATAAGCAGGAGTGGGTGGGTGAGAAGAACCTCTGAATCGGGTTTAGTCAATCACTGCACTGCATCCAAACCAGAAACGTGTCACCCGCGTGACGCTGGGCATTCCGAACGCTAGGAGAGGCGCGGTGGGAAACACTGACTGCCTCAGACACCACCCAACCCGCTCGCAGTAGTGAAGCTTCTGTTTAGAACACCAAAGATAGGACTAGATACTACTTCTCTCTTTTTCATATAACCTTGTAGACACTTACTTGATGATTTTTTTTTAATTTTTACTTTTATTTCTAAATGAGACGAAATGCTGATGTATCCTTTCATCCAGCTTAACAAACCAGAAAAGGTGATGTTCACTTTTCAAAAAGGGAAGTAAGCAAACTCAGATTGCCAACTCCTTTATTTATGGATGCCACCCATATCAGCAGGAGTAATAAATTTACTCACGGCCCTCATTTTTTTTTTCAGGAACCCTCATCCGGGTAGAATCTACTTCCTACAGAGCCAAATGCCATTTAGCAATAAATCACACTTGTCAGCCTCAAAGCATTTTAAGGAACCTAGACAAGTAAAATTATCCTCTTTGTAATTTAATGAAAAGGTACAACAGAATAACGCATGATGAGCTCACCTGGATTATGAGGTGAGAGGGGCGAAATCCAAATTTCTTTTGCTATAGTTGATACTACAATTTAAAGAACAACGGCAACAAAAAAGCAGGCTCTCTCTCTCTCTCTCCATTGTGTATCAGTTTCTGTGAAAGACCTAAATACCACTTACCTCAAATGAAGCTTATGTGTTACTTCAAGTAACACGTTTTGACATAGGATGGTTGGCTGAGGTGCTTTACTTTGATTTCAGCTCACCATCTCTTCACTCAAACTGCACTTTTAGCCAGAGATGCAATACAACCCCACTGCTCAATACTACCTCTGAATATTACAGTTAATTTACAGTTTAGTACTTACTACATGCTGCTATACACAAGCAATGCAAGAAAAAGAAAAGTAATGGGTAGGTGATGCTAATCGCCTACAGTTCTTTGTGTACACTTAATTACAGTTGAAGAAGCAGTCTCCTTACTGTGTTTCAGCATGGCTATGTATTTTTCTATGGGATTTTTTTTTAATTAAGATTTTACAAATACTTGTTTCAGCTTCTCTGCTAGATTCTCCACATTAACTTGAATATTTTTTAACCAAGTCGCTCCTAGGTTCTTAAGGATATTTTTCCTCCTTACACTACACGTCACACAAAATCTGACTGTAATGTTTAAATATCACCCTCCAAGTTTGTACCTCACATGAATTGTTTAAGGAAATGGACTCATTGACTTGCAAAGACCTACCTCCAGACTTCAAAAGGAATGAACTTGTTACTTGCAGCATTCATTTTTGTCAATGTTTGAAATAGTTCAGACTGCAGCTAACCCTCCTCAAAACTATTTTTGTAAAAGGCTTTTGATAGAAAGGAACATGTTTTTACATACTTTTTTGCAAATAAATAAAATAAAGCCAACCTTCAAAGAAACTTGAAGCTTTGTAGGTGAGATGCAACAAGCTCAGCTTTTGCATGATGCAATCAAAAATATGTGTTTTGAAGATTAGTTGAATATGAGAAAATGCTTGACAGATATTTTCATGTATTTTACACAAATGTGATTTTTGTAATATGTCTCAACCAGATTTATTTTGAACGCTTCTTATGTAGAGTTTTTATTCCTTTCTCTCCTAGTGAGTGTGCTGACTTTTTAACATGGTATTATCAACTGGGCCAAGAGGTAGCTTCTCATGACGGCTTGTGTCAGTCTGGCTTTTAGTACTGATGCCAAATGAAACTCAAAACCATCTCTCTTCCAGCCGCTTCAGGGAGGTAGTTTCAAAGGCCACATACCTCTCTGAGACTGGCAGATTGCTCACTGTTGTGAATCACCAAAGGAGCTATGGAGAGAATTAAAACTCAACATTACTGTTAACTGTGCATTAAATAAGCAACTAAACAGTGGCTCATAAGAAGCCCCGTTCCGTATCTTGGGTTGGGCCTTTTGAAACCTCACTGGCCAGCTCAAAACTAAAGCAGTTGCTCGTGTTGGCCAAACTCGGAGCACCCGGCAGTTTCCATCTCTGATGAAATTACTCTCTTATTTCCTATACGTTGTACAATCAAAACACACTACTACCTCTTAAGCCCCAGTATACCTCATTTTTCATACTGAAAAAAGCTTGTGGCCGATGGAACAGTAAGAACATCATAAAATTTTTATATATATAGTTTATTTTTGTGGGAGATAAATTTTATAGGACTGTTCTTTGCTGTTGTTGGTCTCAGGCTAAGTAAGACTGGACATTTAACTTTTCTACCATTTCTGCAAGTTAGGTATGTGTGCAGGAGAAAAGTATCAAGACGTTGAACTGCAGTTGACTTTCTCCCTGTTTCTTTGAGCGTCTTCTAACTTTGTTCTTCATGTAGAGTTGCTGTCTATGATTGTACTTTGAATCGCTTGCTTGTTGAAAGTATTTCTCTAGTGGATTATCACTGTCTGTTCTGCACAATAAACATAACAGCCTCTGTGATCCCCATGTGTTTTGATTCCTACTCTTTGTCATGACTCCATTAAATGAGTAATAAAGTTTGGTCAAAACAGGTCAAGGAGAGAGACATTCACAAGTCGTTTTGTTGTGTGCACCCACACCTCTACACACACGAACATGAAGTTTTAAAGTACAGAAGGCCCTCTGCGGGTTCCGAATCCGTGGATTCGACCAACCACGGATTCCCTAGAGCCGACTGTACTGAGTCATTTCATATAAGGGACTTGAGCATCCTTGGGTTTTTGTATTGGCAGGGGCTCCTGGAACCAATGCCCCGTGGATTCTGAGCGAAGGCTGTATCATACTTCTTAAATCAACTGCCCTAAATTCACCTTTCGTAGCCTGACATTTAACGCTACAAAGATGACCTTAAAGAAATGTAAAGGAAGAATGGTCTACAGTTTAAAACTAGAGAATTTCCATTGAAGGCCTGCATCTACAAAGTTTGTAATGGGAGTAACTGATATGTCAGTTATCTTTGACTTAATATCTGTAGAGGTCCAACCGTTTGGTGAAAAGAATAAGAAATGAAAGTCACAAAGTGTCTACTGAATAGGAATCTTTTTACTCTGTAAAACCTATAAGCAGAGTCAGAATCATTCCACCAAGTTCAAGATCATCTTTATAACTCTGCTGGTGGTTAGGAGTAGATCCAGGATTTTTTAAAGCCAAATCCTCTGGGTTGTGCTGCCACCACTGTCACTAAAACTCTGTGTTTAGTTCTTAGGAAGCACTTGTTCGTTTTAAGAAATCTCCTGTCAGGAAATTTACTTCATTCCTTCATTTATTTATTTTCACAGCCTATATTTTGTGAGTGCCTACTTTATGCTTTAAGTCCCAGACCAAGAGGGCTTTCAAAATATTATCTCCTTGGAAAAAAAGTATGCAGGTGCAAAAATACAGGCAGCATGCAAAAAGAACCGAGTAAACCATTGAGACAACAAGTTGTAAGAATTTAGAGGAGGGAAATCTGTTTCCTGCTGGGGTGGATCATTAGTTCAGTCTAATAACAGACAGGCCAAATGTATTTAATGTAACCCATATTTGGTCTCTTCATTTTCATTAATATAGAAAAGCACATGAGAAGAAATTACTTCTTGAAAACAAAGAAACCAAGAGAGAATCTTTGGCTTGAAAAAGAAAGACTAAGAAAGGACATACTATGTCCAGAATAGGATAAGTAGATAAATGGGATAAAAGAACTTCCCGTATTTTAGAGTTAATGCTCATTAAATGATCTCTGAGTAAGCTTTTCTTTCCTTTTCTTCTTAGAAAAGTTAAAGCATTGCTTTCAAACAGTAAGTAGTACACTTGTGAAAGTTATTAAGAAATCTCTTAAGTTTAAACCTAAGTTCAAGGAGGGTGTCCAAATGCATTCAAATATCAGAGGAGCCTCTAATATGTACTGGATATCATTTGGGGCAATAAAGGGAAATGAGACTTCCTACCTACAGAGAGTCAAAACTTCTCCTGAGGGAGCTGAACTCAAGAGAGAGTTCTGTAAATAGAACCTTATTGAGTTACCCTGAAAGTGGCTCGACGCATCTTGAACTCTCTGCCAATATCAGAGGCAAATCGCAGATCCTCTCACACAAGGGCTGTAGCGCCGTCATCAGAGAAGGATCCTGGGGCTGCAGGGACACCGAGTCTCAGCCAGTGTAGCATTTCATAAGCGGGGGCCGGCGGTGGAGGGGAATGTTCTAACAGGGCTAGGGGTGCTCGACTCTGGTGAATTCAGGGATGGTAAGTGGTTTAGGTGTCTGGGCAGCAATAAAAACAGTACTGCAGAATGAATAACAATCTAGTCAGTTGGACGTGATGCAAGCTGAGATTAGAGACCAGTGAATGAAACTTCAGAAAAGGGAAACAAGAAGCCCAAGAGAGGGGACCAGGGCAGCATGGATGCACTTCTTATCAAGTTTTATTTACATAAGATTAATGTTTTATTGAACAAGTAATGCTTCAAGTTAGGCAAGGTCATCCTTGAGCAATTGCTCTTCAGCTCTAAGAAATCTGGCCTAAAAGAGGAAGAGAAGTTGAAAAGAATAAAAATTACTTGTGAAATAGGGAATGCAGATAGATAACGACCAGAGTCAGAAGGCAACAACAGAGGTCTACACCCACAGTCTGAGCTTAGCCATCTGTAAAACTTGGCCATCTGGTCTCTTCCTCAAGGAGGTGTGAAGTAGCTGCAGAACGACCCTCTGCCCCCCGCTTCCTCCTCTGCGTTCGGGACTCCATCCACGCTGAGGCAGCCATGCCTCCGTCCTACTCTCATACCCAGTCCCGGTAGAGCCTATGGGAAAGGCCTCATGTCAGTGAGCAGCACCCCACTTTGTGTCCACTTTATAATACTTGGGTTCTTGTCTCCCGCCTCTGAGCCTGATTCACAACCTTAATACCCGCCTCTACCCTCATTCATCCAGGGGTCGTCCCTGCCTCACTCCTACCAGCCTTCCAGGACCCTAATCCTACCCCTGTACTTGATCCAACCCCTTGTGATCTGTTAGTCCCATCTCCCCTTCTCTCATCTGATTATTTTCTCACTTGCGATTCCACCTGTTTTGCGGCTGCCCTAATCCTAGATTAAGCAGACATTCTTGGAAACATGGAGTAACAACATTTGAAAATGCTTCACTGCCAGAACCTCGATGTGGAGGGCGGGTGGTGGAGGGAGGGCGGGGTACCTACCTAGGAAGAAACTTGCTGCAGGAGAAAAAATAGAAGATGCAGATCTAGCCCTAGTGGTCTGCTTCCTCTGAGAAGCCAGAGAGGCAGGAGGAAAGAGGAGTCCTGTAACTCCCGGCCACAACTTCTCCCTGAATATTTGAGATCCCAGGAGCTCTACTGACCTCCCAAGCCATGTCACTGACTGGCGTTTGCTGGTTCTGCAGGCCATGTCAGCTATGTCACAGAGGACTCTAAGGAAGAGAGTTGCCATTTAAGTGGCATCACTCCAAAAGATGCAGGTCGTTCAACCCCCTTGCAAAGGTGGTGATGACCAGGGACACAGGACAAGACATCCCGTTGCCCCATATGGTGCAAAAGGTGTGGACTCTGGAACTAGACTGCCTGGGTTTGAATCCTGGCTCTCCCACTAACTCGCAAGTCACATAACTATTCTGGGATCGTTTTCTTTTTCATCTTTAAATAGAAATAATAACAGCATCTATCTACAATCGTTGTTGCAGGAGTTCCCTGGCAGTCCGGTGGTTAGGACTGCCGTGGCCCCGGGGTTCAACCCCTGGCCAGGGAACTGAGATCCTGCTACAAGGTGCATAGCGCGGCCAAAAAAATAAAAAAAAAAAAAAAAAAAAAGGCGTTGTTGTGAGGATTAAAGAAATCAATATAGGTGAAATGCTGAAAAGCATTCAGCATATAGAAGGTGCTATACAGGGTTGGTTGTTATTTCTGTTATCTGGACTCCGGCTGCAGGGTGGGCTTAAAGCTAGCATGTTTTCCTCTAGTTTCTACCATTATTTGATCTTTGCACACAGGGATAGCCACAGACGTGGTCCAAAAGGTATCAAGGTTTTCAAACCTGATTTTGGTTGTACATTCCATGCATGGAAATCATTAATATAGGTACAGACTCCTTTTTCCCACTGTGGTTTGCATTGTGTTTGATCTCAATGGATTTGGTTACTAAAAGGAATCACCCCTGAAAAATCAGCAAAATGCACATCACCTCCATTACAGCAATGGTCTTAGGGGTCCCTGATGCCCCACAGCTTCATTTGCTTGTGGGGTCTCTTCCTTTCTGCCATTCAGTCCAGCCCTCAGCCCCGGCCGCTCCAGGCTCCTGACTTTGTTCTTGGTTCAATGTATCACAGTGTTGGAGAAGGGGGGTTTCTCGGGGGTCTTCCTCCTCCCAGATCCTAGCACCTAACTCCAGTTCTCCCTCCAAATTCCAGCCTCCAGCTCTAGCCCCCCGGCCTAACGAGGCTAAGCTAAATGCACTTCTACCGCCAGTCTTTGCCCCTCACCTTCTCATTAGCATTCTTCAGGCCACCTGATAGTTCTCTTCTGCCCAGTCCTCTTCCACTGAACTCTGCACCCCCTTTAGATTTCCCTTTGGTCACCTAAGGATACTAGTCTCCTTGGACCAGTCAGGAATAAGTGACTGCTTATTCCAGAAGAGAAAAAGAGAGGAAACAAGGAGATTCTCCCGTGTGCAATTTCCCCTGGTGACTGAACTGGTGGTGTGGAGAAGAGCCAGCCCCGTGTAAAACATGAAATGGGGGCTTCCCTGGTGGCACAGTGGTTGAGAAGCCGCCTGCCGATGCAGGGGACGCGGGTTCGTGTCCCGGTCCGGGAAGATCCCACGCCGCGGAGAGGCTGGGCCCGTGAGCCATGGCCGCTGAGCCTGCGCGTCTGGAGCCTGTGCTCCGCAGCGGGAGAGGCCACAACAGTGAGAGGCCCGCGTACCGCAAACAAACAAGAAAAAAAAAAGCATGAAATGGCTGATGGCCCAAAGAAAAATCCAAACGCACTTGCAGAAGAGAAAACAAACCCAGGAGAGGGGGAAAAGCAGCAGCTGCTTTTTACAGTGGTCCAGCCAGTGGGGCCCACTGCATAACCAGAAAGTGAGGTGAGGTCAATGTGAGCAAGGGTCCCTAAAAACATGAATGGAAGAGTGATACCCTAAGAGTTGCCAAGCGGGCAGTGGACTTTGCTGGAAGGAGCAAGAAAGAGACCTTGTTTTAAGGCAAGATGTTGCTATTTCTGACCATGGTACAATTTGGCCTATCTTGACTGGAACAAATAATGACAATTCTTTTAGCATCTTCATTTTTCGCTTACAAAGCACTTTCACAAATTTCGTTTCTTTTCATCTTCATTTCGTCATCTTCATCTTCAGCACCATGCTGGGTGACATAGCAGGTATTATTATTATTGTTATATTTACTTTAAAAATAGGTTAACTGAGGCTCGGAAACCATTAGTGACTGGCTTGGGAGGCAGAGCTGGTAAGTGGCAGAGCCGTAAGTCCCTGACTCTGGTTCCACACTCTGTTCTCTAGACTATCGTACAACCGTAGACTATCCTATCA